CCCCCCTATAACACTGTTGATAATTCCGTTTTATATGAATTCCATGTTGTACGAGTCACTTAGATTTTACAAATATGTGTGCCGGGTTGTGAACGGCTCACGTATTTGTAAAATCTAAGTGACTCATACAACATGGAATTCATATAAAACGGAATTATCAATAGTGTTATAGGGGGGTCGACTGTATAGCCCATGTCCATCCTGAAGTTCCATTCTAAATACTGGTGAAAGAATTTTTGAAATCGGATGAGTAGTTTCGGAGATTACTTGCTGCATACAAACTTACTTACAAACATTACCTCTATAATATTAGTGTAGATTAAAAATTCTATTTTTTAAATTATACTTTTATTTACAAACTATATTTCATATAAAAAAAACAATTTGATTTTAAAATCAGTTTTAATCAACATTTAAGAAGTGCTTATAAATAACTTTTTGATAACAATTTATTGGATGTAATTACTGTTACAGATTTTACAAGATAAAATTTTATATTCATATATAAGTGTTAGAACTTCATATCTGTATAGAGAAATATGTCTTCAAAATATAGGCATGAGTGATATGTGAACATCAGCAGTTATAAAACAATAAAACCTAAGTGTTTTTCATAAAGTACATTAATAAAAACTTTACTTTCAAAAATTATGACTAGACACGTAGGGTAATGGAACCAGTGTTTGACATAAACCCAGTAATTGACAAATACCACTAAAATTTCTAGTAAATGATGATTTAAGTTTAATTTTAAGACAGCTAATACAGTCTAGTGTTATTTTTTAGTTTTACCAAGTGATTTGATGTAGTTCAGTTTTGAACATTCGAGAGATGTATATAATAAAAGCCATTTTAGTTGTGACTTGTGTGTGAAGCTAGAAGATCTTAACTTTTTGTTAAGGAGCAAAGCAGAGAAAAGTTTACACCAAAGATGATACTTCATGGTAGCAGCAGTAAAATCTGTTTTCATTATCTTGTAGAAGAAATGAAAGCTGAAAATCAATTTTGTCAGAATAAACCAGTCTTCAGGTTTGCATGTGGGTGTTAACAGAGCTTTCAACTGTGAAGAATGCTAAAAATCATTATGTTGGACACATAATTAGTGCCAAGAAACTTCTGTAAATACACAAGTTTCTTGGCACTAATCATGTATGGTCTGATTGTAACAATATTTCGGTGGTTCAGAGAAAATTTCTGAACCACTGAAATATCATCACAAAAAACATTATAAAAATTTTAGCCAAACAAATCTGGGACATAAAGGATTAATTTTCAACATTTTCTTCTCTGGATACAATATTAACTAAAGAAGCCCAAGTAGGCCTACAGTTTCTCTAGTTTGTAATAATGTCTAGTCAACAGCTGAATATTCTTATTATAATTTTAAAAAAGGTAACTTTCTCTCCATGTTCCACATATATATTTTAAATGTAGGTTCAAGCCATAATTCATAAAAATATCTTTTTAATTGGAAATGTTGTTGTTTAACATGCTGTCTGTGATGTTGTGAACTGTCAATTACTGGAAAAAAATATAGTTGTTTGTTTATCAATTTTTTTTTGCAGAAAATTAATTATGATTTTTTTAATTTTTAAGTATCTTCTAAATAAGCATAATTTCATGTATTATAGGGAAACAAAATACAGTCTTAGCTTTAAACAATAAAATTGTACAAGTTCTTTTATAACTATGTTACCTTAAAGCATCAATCATTGGTGTCATTACACTATCTTTTTAAGACTTAAATAAACCACCTAAAATCACAGTTATTACTTTCATAAAATTTAACTATTTTTATTATTATAATATTTAATTCATATGAATTAAGAAAAAATATTATGCTTACCGCTTCCAATTCTTCTTTTCTCCTGTATAAATTGTTATTTAATAGATTTTCTAATTTATTTTTTTCAGCTTCCAGCTTAAAATAAAAAATTAATTAATTCTTGTATCAATTTATATTTTTAAAATTTTATTAATTTTAGAATAAATACTTATTTCTTGAACCAATACAGAATTTTCTATAGAGGTTAGTTAGTATATTAATTGATAATATATAAATACGTTTTTGATACTAAATTAACT